AGCAGGCCAGGCTGAATCAGAGGAGCAGGAGAATCAACGTTTCTCGAGTTAACCCTGAAAAGTGTGATGTGATTCATTTTGGAAGGACAAATTTGAAAGCAGAATACAGGGTTAACGGAAAGATTCTTGGCAGTGTGGAGGAGCAGATGGATCTTGGGGTTCATGTCCACAGTTCCCTGAAAGCTGCCACCCAGGAGGATAGAATTGTTAAGAAGGTGTATGGTGTGTTAGCTTTCATTAATAGAGGGATTGAGTTCAAGAGCCGTGAAATTATGCTCCAGCTATACAAAAGCCTGGTTCGGCACATCTGGAGTATTGTGTCCAGTTCTGGTCGCCTCATTACAGGAAAGATGTGGAAGCATTGGAAAAGGTGCAGAGGAGATTTACCAGGATGTTGCCTGGAATGGAGGGAAGGTCTTACGAGGAAAGGTTGAGAGGTCTAGGGCTTTTCTCTTTAGAATGACAAAGGATGAGAGGTGACTTGATAGAGGTGTACAAAATGATCAGAGGTATAGATAAAGTGGACAGCCAAAGACTTTTTCTGAAGGTAGATGTAGCTATTACGAGGGGGCATAGTTTTGAAGTGAGTGGAGGTATATATAGTGGAGACATCAGAGGTAGTTCTTTACTCAGAGAGTGGTAGGGGTGCAGAATGCATTGCCGGAGAGGGTAGTGGAGTCGGCCTCATTAGGGGCATTTAATCGACTATTAGATAGGCATATGGATGTTAGTAGGGGTGGAGGTTAGATAGACCTTAGGATTAGGGTAAAAGTTTGGCACAACATTGTGGGCCGAAGGGCCTGTGTTCTATGTTCTATGTTCTATGTTTCAGGTCAATGAGTCCTGATGAAGGGTCCCGATCTGAAACTCGGCTCTCCTGCTCCTCTGACGCTGCCTGACCCGCCGTGTCCCACCAGTTCCACACTGTATTGACCTATAATGTATTGTCTCACCTGAGATGTCACCTCTGTGTACTAATAAAACCTTTAGTTATCTCGGGTCAGTGACTTGAAACAAATTCTAGGATTGGCACATTAATCAATCAAAATCTGCATCTCCTTTCTAACTGGTTATAGATTTAACAGTCATCCTGCGTTTGTTTAATACATCCTCATCAGTTTTGTGACCCTTTAGTCTTTTACTTATAAATTCTGTGTCTGATACTACCTCTCTCACTAACACCTGAAGAAGGAGTGAGGCTCCAAAAGCTTGTTTTCTCAAATAAACCTGTTGGACTGTAACCCGGTGTTGTGTGATTTTTGACTTTGTCCACCCCAGTCCAACACTGACACCTCACATCTCTTCTGATCATTTTGTACACCTCTATCAAGTCACCTCTCATCCTTTGTCATTCTAAAGAGAAAAGCCCTAGACCTCTCAACCTTTCCTTGTAAGACCTTCCCTCCATTCCAGGCAACATCCTGGTAAATCTCCTCTGCACCTTTTCCAATGCTTCCACATCTTTCCTGTAATGAGGCGACCAGAACTGGACACAATACTCCAGATGTGCCGAACCAGGCTTTTGTATAGCTGGAGCATAATTTCACGGCTCTTGAACTCAATCCCTCTATTAATGAAAGCTAACACAGAGAACATTGTCTTCCATGTACTAAATTTCCGCAAGCTATGTTGTGTTGTTTTCTATTTTTTTCATTCATAGGATGAGGGCATTACTGACATCAGCATTTATTGCCCATCCCTAATTGCCCACAGAGCAGTTAAATGTCAACCACATTGCTGTGGGTCTGGAGTCACATGTAGGTCAGACCAGGTAAGAACAGCAGTTTCCTTCCCTAAAGGACCTTGGTGAACCAGATGGGTTTGTCCAACAATCAACAATGGTTTCATGGTTATCATTAGACTTCTAATTCCAGGGTTTTTATTATTGAATTAAAACTCCACCATTTGCCATGGTGTGATTTGAACCCAGGATCCCCGAACGTTATCTGGGAGTCTGGATTAACAGTACAGCAATAATACCATTAGGCCATCAGCTTCTTCTTAGATTACCAGTTGAAGTTCAAAAGTTTTCCATCCATCCTGTCTACAATATTGGGAAGCTTGTTCTGGAGAAGATGAAGAATTGTGGCTCTAAAGATTGAGAAAAGGGTGGGGGCGATGACGCATTCCTGCTTGACCCTTGTCTTGATCTCAAAGGATTCTATCATATTACTGTCAGTGAGGCCTGTTGCTGACATGTTGTCATGGAGGAAATGGAGGATGTTGATGAATTTCATGAATAGCCAGCCTTTGACAGGATCTTCCATCACACTTTTTCTGATGAAGGTCTAGGCCCGAAACGTCAGCCTCTCTGCTCCTATGGTGCTGCTTGGCCTGCTGTGTTCATCCAGCCCTGCACCTTGTTGTCTCTCTTCCATCACACTACCTGATTAACTGAGTCAAACGTCTTGCTCAGGTGGATGAAGACCATATGGCGTGGTTGGTGCTGTTCCTGATATTTGTCTTAGAGTTTCCAAGCATTGGAAATCATGAACAAAAACAGAAGTTGCTGGGAAAGCTCAGCAGCTTGGAACTGGGGAAGGGTCACTGGACTCGGAACGTTAACTCTGATTTCTATTCACAGATGCTGCCAGACCTGCTGAGCTTTTCCAGCAACTTCTGTTTTTGTTCCTGATTTACAGTAGCCACAGTTCTTTTGGTTTTTATTTAATGGAAATCATGAAATTGTCCCCCTTACACCAAGATCCAGAAAATTAATATATATAGGGAAAAGCAATGGTCCTAATAACTCCAATATAAACCCTTCTCCAGCCTAAACAATACTGATTGACAATTACCCTCTGTTCCCTTTCACATGGCCAATTTTGTATCCACACTGCTACTGTCCCTTTTATACTGTGACCCTATAACTTTCCTAACAAGGCTGTTGTGTGGCACAGTTTCAAATGCCTTCTGGAAATCCATTATTGTCACATCAAAAAATTGCCCTCATCACCCTTTTGTTACCTCTTCAAAAAACTCCAGTAAGTAAGGTAAAAACAATTTCCCCTTTAGAAATACATGCTGATTGTCCCTAATCAACCGTGTTTTTAAATGTAAATAATAATTCTATATCAAATAAATGTCTTGAGAACCTTCCCTGTCTTCCCTAAATACAGGTAGTACACTATGGTTGGTACTCTGCTAAATTTCTGCTACTTTAAGCACCCAGGTGTCATCATTCAACTTTGCTGCTTCCTTGGTGGCCAACTCCATCGAGGTAGCAATTTCAAAAACTGCTTTTAAATCCAGGTTTCTCCTTGTTAGTAGCTTTTGTTGCATGGCTTCATGTTGGAGGCCACAAACCAAATGATCCTGCAAGGCATCTTGGAGAAATCCTCCAAATTTGCAATGCTCTGCCAACCTCTTTAATGTGACCACAAATTGAGTGGAACCTTTCCTGCCGCACTATCGTTTATAGTCTGAGTCCCTTCGGTGAATACTGTCCACACCAGCCATTCCCTCTCTGACTGTGCTAGAGTACAGTTCTTCCCTGGCATCACTTGCAGCCCAAGTCCCCTCAACTCTCCGCGATAACCTTCGGTAAGCTTCTGGGTGAGTAATCCCCTCTTCAGCCATTGGCTATGGTTTGAACCATAAATAGAGCACAAGATAGATAGAGGGTAAATTTGAACAGGAAATAGATCATTGTGGTTCCTCTCAGCTCTGGAGCGGTTTTAGACAGTCTCCCCTAGCTCTCATCTTTCAGTCACCTGATTCACTCTCTTACTCGCAACTACATACATAACATACACGTCTTTCCGTCGGCTGTCAGTCTTTTCTCAAAATTCCTTGTTGCTTCTTTTATTTGCTTTTTCATCACCTCCTCCACCCCAAACCTCTGTATTCCTCTTCATTCTCAACATTAATTTTTACCTGACACTTGTTGTAAGCACACTTTGTCTTCTTTACCTTAAATTCCATCTCCTTTGTCACCCAGGCTGCTCTGGATTTGTTCATTCTGCCTTTCCCATATGAGGGAATGTATCTCAACTACATCCAAACAATATTCACTGTCTCCTGAATATTCCCCAACATGACACTTGATTCACTTCATTTCCAAGGACCAGGTCCAAAATGCATTATTTCTTGGACTGGAAACATACTGCTGTAGGAATCTCTCCTGCATGCAATCTAGGAACATGTGCCTCTCGTTGCTTTATATGATACAAATATCCCAGTCTATGTTTGGATAACTGAAGTCTCCCATTATAACTACTCTATAATATTGGATTCTCTCTATAACTCACCTGCAGATTTGTTCTATATCCTTTTCACTAGTTGGAAATATACCCTTTTTGTTCCTTAGTTCTAACCAAATTGATTCTGTGCTTAGATCGTCAGAGTCATCCTCTTTCTCCAGCACTGCAATGCCTTCCTAATTAACCTCTTCTCCTTTCCTTCCTTTTCTATTTTTCCTGAATAACTTATACCCCGGAATATTTAACAGACAGTCTGCCCTTCCTTGAGCCAGGTTTCTGTTATCGCCATAACATCGAAGTTCCATATTGCAATCTGTGTCTGTAACTCTCCAATTGTAATTGCTATGCTCTGTACAGTCACATACATGCACAGTAACCCTGATTTAGAATTCATAATTTGGCTTCCTTGCTCTAACTTCATCTATTAACTTGCTATTCGCATTGTTAGTGCCTGTTGCATCTTAAGTATGTTATGAACCCTGGTCTTTTTCCCTGTTTTTCTTCCTTGGTTCCATGCTCCTGCAAGTTGTTTTAAAGCCTTCTTGTTAGCACTAGCAAAACGCCTTGCAAGGAACTCAGTCCAAGCCCTGTTCAGGTGAAATTTGATTGATTTGTATAGGTGTCACAATCTTACAAGGATCTTGTATGTCTGTGTATTTAAGTAAACAACACATTCAAAAATGAACTGTAACCCTCATGTTGAAGTGGTTACAGGACAGTGAGACAAGGAAAAGGAGTAAATGCCCAATAAAAGTGGGGAGCGGTAGTGGGGGACATAGAGTGCTCATTTTATCTTACCTGGAGGAGGTGCCGAGTGCAGTAACCAGAGCCTGTAACAATCCACCCATGAAAACAAAGGGATTCTTGTGTGTGATGAAGAAATAGAGTAGAGGCAGAACGATGAGAGCATGGAAGAGCAGCCCCACGATGACGGTAATTGTATACATTCCCAGCTGTCCTCCCACCACAGTCATATCCTCCATCTCCACAATTTTGCCCGCAATAAGAAACAGTAGACCGATTGGAGCATACCTGAAAACAGAGAAAGTAACTGAGAGAGGGAGGCAAGTGGTGTTTAATCACTGAGAATGAAAGAGGGCAAAAGAAATATGATTCACTGAGAGAGTAGTGACATTAGTAATCATTAAATAATCAAAACATTATATGAAGTAGCTATAGAAAGGGACAAAGAGCAAATAACAATGAAAAGCCCTAACTGGGGTTGATTTCAAAGATGAGAGAAGGGATCCAGCACAAGTGGGCTGTAAAGAAAAATTGTTCAGGAAAACTAAACGAGCAAAGACAAATCTCTTAAGGCCTAGATCATTCAGATACATGCCAAATAAATGTGGAAAGATGAAGACATACAAAGCTGGAGCTACTTGGATGTTAAAGGAAATAGAGATTATAATGAAATAGGAAAATAGAGATTATGGAAAATGTACAGAATACAATTGAAATCATAAAGTAATGAGTGCAAGAGGAAATTAAAAAGGACGTAACAAAATAACCATAGAATGGAGAAAAAAGTACTGGCTTATATGAAACAGAATCCTGAAATCCTTTCCCATGTCTAAAGGCCAATAAGGCAGGTGCTTATACAAAAACAGGAATTGCTGGAAAAACTCAGCAGGTCTGGCAGTACCTGTGAAGAGAAATCAGAGTTAACGCTTCAGGCCCAGTGACCCTTCCTTAGAATTGATGGGAGCTAGCAAAAGGTTGGTTTCAATGCAGAAGATGGGTAGGGGGAGGGTGTAAGGAGTAAATGATAGGTGGGGATAGAGCCCAAAGAGAGAGAAGAACAGTTGAACAGACAAAGGAATGGATAACGACCTGACTGGGAGAGTGAATAGCTGTTAATGGAGACTGTTAGTGGCTAACAATAGGTAGTGTGTAATGGCAGACTGTGTGATAACAAGACCAGGTGTGTGGGGTTGGGCTACGGACATGGGAGAGCTCAAGTCTGAAAATTATTGAACTCAATATTGAGTCCAGAAGGCTGTAGAGTTCTCAAGCAGAAAGTAAGTGCTTATGTCTGCTTCCATAGCTAGTTTCTCCTGCAACAGGTGCCACAGTCTATCACTTGAGGGACATCACTCAACATTTAGTGCCTCTCTTAGTCTCACTCTTAGTGCTTGCTATCAACATAGAACATAGAACATAGAGCAGTACAGCACAGTACAGGCTCTTCAGCCCACGATGTTGTGCTGACCTATTATTCCACTAAGATCAATCTACCCTGCATACCCTACATTTTACTATCCTCCATGTGCCTATCCAAGATTTGCTTAAAAGTCTCTAAAGTATCTGACTCCACTACCACTGCCGGCAGCGCATTCCACGCACCCACCACTCTCTGTGTAAAGAACCTCCCTCTGACATCTCCCCTATACCTTCCTCCAATCACCTTAAAATTATGCCCCCTCGTAATAGTCATTTCCACCCTGGGAAAAAGTCTCTGACTATCCACTCTATCTATGCCTCTCATCATCTTGTAAACATAGAACATAGAACATAGGACAGTATAGCACAGTACAGGCCCTTCGGCCCACAATGTAGTGCCGAACTTTTACCCTAATCCTATAGTCTATCTAACCTCCACCCCTACCTTATACTATCATCCATATGCCTATCTAATAGCCACTTAAATGCCCCTAATGAGGCCGACTCCACTACCCTCTCTGGCAATGCATTCCACGCCCCTACCACTCTCTGAGTAAAGAACCTACCTCTGACGTCTCCACGATATCTACCTCCTTTCACTTTAAAACTATGCTCCCTCGTAAAAGCTACCTCCACCCTAGGAAAATGTCTCTGGCTGTCTACTCTATCTATACCTCTGATCATTTTGTACACCTCTATCAAGTCACCTCTCATCCTTCGTCGTTCTTAAGAGAAAAGCCCTAGCTCTCTCAACCTTTCCTTGTAAGACCTTCCCTCCATTCCAGGCAACATCCTGGTAAATCTCCTCTGCACCTTTTCCAACACTTCCACATCTTTCCTGTAATGAGGTGACCAGCACTGGACACAATGCTCCAGATGTGGCCGAACCGATGTGACTCTATCAAGTCACCTCTCATCCTACTTCGCTCCAATGAAAAAAGCCCCATGAAGCCCAATGTATCAGGAAGATGTACAAAGCTGACATTCAGTCTGTTTCACTATGTCATGAACATTAGGTCATGGAGTAAGTCTTGAATCCAGAGCACTTGGCATGGTGGAATTTGAATCCTAGTCCCCAGAATATTATCTGGGTCTCTGGATTACTATCCCAGCAACAATACCACCATGCTATCCCATAAGTTAGGAAGTCTCTTCTGCAAATGGCAATTAATACTAAATTATGTGTTAATTTTAAAGCTGGGATTGATACAGTTTTGTTCCCTGAACATATTAAGTGCACGAAGTAGAGTACAGGGAGTTGATTTGCCGATAATCCACGATTTCATTGAATGAAAGTGGTTAAAAAGGCGTTTGAGACAACAAAGTGCAGGGCTGGATGAACACAGCAGGCCAAGCAGCATCATAGGAGCAGAGAGGCTCGCCTTCATTGCTCAGTCCTTTGAGTAGAGGAGTTGGGACATCATGTTGAGGTTGTACAGGACATTGGTGAGGCCTCTTCTGGAATACTGTGTCCTATCCTGGTCACCCAGTTATTGGAAGGATACTATTAAGCTGGAGAGGTTCAGAAGAGATTTACCAGGATGTTGCCTGGTGTGGAAGGTTTGACTTGTAAAGAAGGCTGGATAGGCTCGAAGATTTTTCACTGAAGTGTAGGAGGTTGAGAGGCGACCTTATAGAAGTTTATAAAATAATGAGAAGTATGGATAGATTTAATGGATTGTTGTCTTTTCGCTAGGATGGGGGATTTCAAGATTGGGGGCACATTGTTAAGGTGAGAGGAGAGAGATTTAAAAAAACATAAGAGGCAATTTATTTTACACAGAGGGTGGTTCGTGTGTGGAATGAACTTCCAGAGGAAGTGATGGATGTGGGTACAATTACAATGGTTAAAAGACATTTGGATAAGTACATGAATAGGAAAGGTTTGGAGGGATATAGGCCAGGAGCAGGCAGGTGGGACTAGTTTAGTTTGGGATTATGTTTGGCATGGACTGGTTGGATCGAAGGGTCTGTTTCCCTGCTGTATGATTCTCTATGAAAGCACAGGCTTCAGGGCCTAAGTGGCCTCCTCCTATTCCTACATTATCGTGGGAGGTTGGTATGGTGTAACAGAAGTTTTCACTCCAATCCCAAAAGAAGAGTGGCACCAAAGGATTTGCAAATTACGTGCCTATCCAATAGGAAAGAGGGATAAATCTCCTCCACCCCATTAAGCAATATTGAACCTCTTAAAGACAAAGGGCAGCATCGTATTGGGGTCTGAAGTACATGGGCTATGGTGAGAGTTGTAGCAGAATAGGACAAAAGGTCCAGTGAGGCCCAGCTCAATGTCAGGAGAATCTTGCTGCATTTTTAATGCTCTTCACAAGGTGCCAAGGCAAGTTCCTTCCTTGGCAGCAGTGACTTGCTAATTAAGGGAAATTTTACATGCCTTGGTAATGACCCAGCTCTTGGACCCTTGGTAATATTCAGCTTCCTATCTTACCAAACATGACAAACAAGATAGACATTGAGAAAATGTCAATATGGAAATTAGAGAGGTACTAGACAGCTGGCCATTTGCTCTGATGGACTTCCACGTTCCACAGTTTGAAGCAACATATCAGGGCATGATCCATGGGCACCTGTCACACATACCTTTCATCCATGGATATTGGCATCCGGCATTTGCAAACCCCTCATAACTATCATGGCGCCTCTTCAATGCACTTTCAGCCCACTCATGATGTTGGGGAATTCAGTGATAGTAATGTCAAGGGACGGTGGTTAGATTGTCTCTTATTGAAGATGGTCATTGTCTGGCGTTTATGTGGCACATATGTTACTTGCCACTTACAGTCAGAGAACCATATAGCACAGAAACAGATCTTTCAGTCCAAAATGTGCATGCTGACTAGACATCCCAATTTGACCTAATCCAATTGCAAGCATTTGGCCCATATCCCTCTAAATGCTTCCTATTCATATACCCATTCAGATGCCTTTTAAACTGGAAGGCATGGACAAGTTAGGCCCAAGGGCCTGCTTCCATGCTGTAACCCTCTATATTGTAAGTGTGCTTGCCCCCACCATTTTCTCTGTCAGCTCGTTCTATACACACACCACCCTCTGTGTGAAAATGTTGCTCCTTATGTCCCTCTCACCCTAAACCTATGCCCTCTAGTTTTGGACTCTCCAAACCTAGGAAGGTCACCCCTCAGCCCAAGCCTGGATATTGTCCAGATCTTGTTACATTTGAACATGGACTGCTTCAGCATCTGAGGAGTCACGAATGGTGCTGAACATTGTCCAACCATTGGTGAACATCCACACTTCTGACCTTATGATGGAGGGAAGGTCATTGATGAAGCAGCTGAAGATGGTTGGGCCTAGGGCTCTACCCTGAGGAACTCCTGCAGAGATGTGCTGGAGCTGAGATTATTGACCTGCAACAACCACGACCATCTTCCCATGTGTCAGGTATGACTCCAACCACTGGAGGGTTTGTCCTTTGATACCTATTGATCCCAGTTTTGCTGGGGCTCCTTGATGCCACACTCGGTTGAATGAGGCTTTGATGTCAAGGGCTATCACTCTCATCTCACCTCTGGAATTCAGCTCTTTTGCCCATGTTTGAACCAAGGCTGGAATGAGATCAGGAGCTGAGTGGCCCTGGCAGAACCCAGACTGGGCGTCACTGAGCAGGTTATTGCTGAGCAGGTGCTGCTTGATAGCTCTGTTACTGACACCTTCCATCACTTTACTGATGATCGAGAGTAGACTGATGGGGCGGGAATTGGCCATGTTGGATTTGTCCTGTTTTTTCTGTACAGGACATACCTGGGTGATTTTTCCACATTGTCGGGTAGATACCAATGTTGTAACTGTACTGGAACAGCTTGGCTAGGGCAGCAGCAAGTTCTAGAGCACAAGTCTTCAGTACTATTGCTGGAATGTTGTCAGGGCCCAAGGCTTTTGCAGTATCCAGTGTCTCCAACTGTTTCTTGATATCACATGGCGTGAGTCAAATTGGCTGAAGACTGGTACCTGTGATGCTGGAGACCACTGGAGGAGGCCGAGATGGATCATCCACTCGGCACTTCTGGCTGAAGATTGCTGTGAATACTTCAGCCTTATCTTTTACACTGATAAGTTGGACTCTTCCGTCATTGAAGATGGGGATTTTTGTGGACTCTTATCCACTGGTGAGTTTTTCAATTTTCCACCTCCATTCACAACTGGATGTGGCAGGACCGCAGAACTTAGATCTGATCCTTTGGTTGTGGGATCACTTAGCTTTGTCTATCATTTGCTGCTATCACTGTTTGGCGTGCAAGTAGTCCTGTTTGGAGACTTTGCCAGGTCGACACCTCATTTTCAGGTATGCCTTGTAGTTCTCCTGACATGCCCCCCTGCACTCTCCATTGAACCAGGGTTGATCCCCTGGCTTGATGGTAATGGTTGAGTGGGGGATATGCCGGGCCATGAGGTTACAGAATGTGCTGGAGTACAATTCTGCTACTGTTGATGGCCCACAGCACCTCATGGATGCCCAGTCTTGAGTTGCTATATCTGTGCAAAGTCTGACACATTTAGTACAATGACATGACACAACACGATAGAAATTATTCTCAATGTGAACGTGGGATTTCATCTCCAAAAGAACTGTGCGGTGGTCACTCTTACAGATACTGTCATGGACAGATGAATCTGCAGCCAGCAGATTCGGAAGGAGAAGGTCAAGTGTGTTTTTCCCTCTTGTCGGTTCCCTCACCACCTGCCTCAGACCCAACTGTTCTAGCAGCTATGTCCTTCAGGACAAAACCAGTCGATCAGTAGTACTGCTGCTGAGACATTGAAATCCCCCACCCAGAGTACATTTTGCACTCTTGCCACCCTCAGTGTTTCCTCCAAGTGTTGTTCAATATTGAGGAGTAGTGATTCAACAGCTGAAGGGGGACACTATGTGGTGATCAGCAGTAGGTTTCCTTGCACATGTTTAATCTGAAGGCATGAGACTTCATGGCATCCAGAGTAATGTTAAGGACACCCAGAGCAACTCCTTCCTGAATGTACACCATTGTACTGCCATCCATGCTGGGTCTATCCTTCCAGGAGACAGGACGATTCCAGGGATAGTGATGGTGGTATCCAGGGCATTGTCTGTAAGGTATGATTCCATGAGTTTGACTATGTCAGGCTGTTGCTTGACTACTGTGTGCGACAGCTCTCCCAATTTTGGGACTAGCCCCCAGATGTTAACAAGGAGGACTTTGCAGGGTTGACAGGGTTGAGTCTGCTGTTGTCTGTTCCGGTGCCTAACCTGAAAAACTAAAGAGAGAGAGAAGCAGGCGCAACCAGTGGTTAGAAGTAGTGTGCAATGTATGACACTGACAGCAGGGTTGCTGAGATTTAACAGTAACAAGCAGAGTAATACTTTGTTGGTGGGACAATGGATATTTCAGAATTCCACACGAGTGGACCCAGTCTTCTCCTGCAAGGGTCAATATTCTGCCCTCATAGTAGATGAGCAGTCTCGTACTAGGCACCCCTTCCACTGTTATGGGCTGTCTTCTACTGTAATGAAAGAAAGGGAGGAACTGAATGAGATGAAAATGGGTGGCACAACTGTTAGCACCTGTGCAGGTAGGGGAAAGGTGGTCAGGTGTAAGGTAGACTATGAGCCTTGGTATGAAATAGGTGCTGTAGCAGGGATAGAGTGAGTATGAGGAAGCAGAATGTGGCATTTACCCTGGTGCAACGGAGAAGGTGATTGACATTCTTACAGCACTGCTGGCAGTTCTCCCACTCTGTGGAGATGTCAGTGACCCAAGTGGTGCCAGAGTCTGGTGACACAGCTTGTTCTGCTGATGTCCCAGGAAGAGGACTCCTCTCCTTTGCACCACCTCCTCTGACAGGCCCCTGTCAGATAATCACAATGCAATATTCCGATTCTCCAACATTTTCTTAAAAGTTCTTTGACTGATCAGGCAAACTTCGGAGTGCCAGTGCTTGTCTGGGTGCACAACTGCTTTTCAAAGGTGGCATAGTTGCTGGTCTTTCTGTGAATATCTGTTGATTGATGAGTTGTCCCAGGAATGGCACATGGTTAAATAGGACTGGAATCAGACATGACAGATGCCAAAGGGTCAGTGTAAGTAATTACTGAGACAAGTTACCAGTAAAGTTCAGTGAGAAAACCCTTTAGGCTTCATGGCAAAAATCCTTCAAAAAACTCAACACAACTTGCATTTAGCCAAAGAAATATAAGATTCATCTCACATGTGTATGCTGTAGGGTTTGAAACTGTGTGGGCAAAATTGAAATACCTTCAGGAAAGACTTGAAATAGTGCAACAGACAAGAGAGTCTTTCATATCTAGTCATGAATTGTGGGGGATAATTGAACGATTCACTGGAGGAGACAGCTCTGCAAATATCCCCATCTTCAATGATAGAATAGTCTAGCACATCATTGCAAAAGGTAAGGCTGAAGCATTTGTAACAATCTTCAGCCAGAAGTGCCAAGAGGATGATCCATCTCCAGCTTCTCAGAGATTCTCAGTGTCATAGATGTCAGTATTCAGCCAATTCAAATAACTCCCTGTGATATCAAGAAATGGCTGAAGGTGCCAGATACTCCAAAGGCTGTAGGCCCTGACAAAATTTTGGCAATAGTACTGAAAACTTGTGCTCCAGATCTTGCCGCATCCCTAGCCAAGTTGCTCCAGTACAGCTCCAACACTGTCATCTACCCGACAATGTGGAAAATTGCCCAGATATGCCCATACATAAAAAGCAGGACAAATCCAACCCGGCCAATTACCGTCCCATCAGCCTGCTCTCGATCATCAGTAAAGTGATGGAATGTGTCAGTAACAGAGCTATCAAGCAGCACCTGCTCAGCAATAACCTGCTCAGTGACTCCCAGTTTGGGTTCCACCAGGGCCACTCAGCTCCTGACCTCATTCCTGCCTTGGTTCAAACATGGACAAAAGAGCTAAAGTCTAGAGGTGAGGTGAGAGTGACTGCTTTTCACATTTCAAGTCAAGTCAAGATCGTCTTACCAGACCATAGGACTGTTCTCTCATTAGAGAGAGACAAGTGGTGGTGATTTCACCTGAAGGCCTCCACACCTCAGATGAAGGGAAAGTTTGAGAAGGAGAGTCCTTCATGGAAACCTCAGCTAGTGCGGGAATTGACCCTATGCTATTGGCATAAAACCAGTCAGTAATCAAGCAGCACCTTCCAAAAATTCATAATTACTTCCATCTAAAAGGACAAGGACAGCAGATACATGGGAACACCACCCCCTGCAAGTTCCCCTCTAAACCATTCACCATCCTGACTTGGAAATATATCGCTATTGCTTCGTTGTTCCTGGATCAAAATTCTGGAATTCCTATCCTAAGGGTCTTGTAGGTCAACCCATAGCAGGTAGAATGCAGCAGTTCAGGAAGGCAGCTCATCACCACCTTCTCAATGTCAACGAGGGACAGGCAATAAATGCTGGCACAGCCAGCAATGCCCATCATCTCACAAACGAATAAGAAAAGAAAAAATAACCAACCATCCAGCCGACTGAACCCCTACCCTTGACATCTAGGTTGCATTTAACCAAATGTGGCAAAACTGGGATCAATGGGAACCAGAAAGAAAACTCTCTGTTGGTTGGATGTCAT